GTTTTAAAGAAGTATTTGGACACCCAGATAATAAACCATTGCAATAGTCCAGTCTATACGTGACAAATGCATGGACCAGATTTCTGCATCGTTTTTAGATAAGATGTTTCTAATTTTAGTGATGTTACGCAGGTGGAAGAAGGCAGTTCTAGTAACGTTTTTAATGTGGGGGATAAAAGACATGTCCTGATCAAAAATAACACCAAGATTTTTAACATTAGAGATGGAGGACAGATTAATGCCATCTAAGGAGGGAGAAAGACTGAAAAATGTGTTCCTAAGGTGCTCAGGTCCAAAAACCAAAACCTCAGTTTTGTCTGTGTTCAACAGGAGAAAATTAAGGGTCATCCATGTTTTTATGTCTTTAAGACAGGCTGGTAGTCTAAGTAGCTGATTGGATTCATTGGGTTTAATGGACAAATATAACTGTGTGTCATCAGCATAACAATGGAAATTTATCCCATGCTGTTGTGGCTTTTTGCCACACTCGTGTTCAAAACAGCTGAGACGGTCACCTTAGTTCAAAATATTTATTTGACAAACAGGAGTTACAGGTATTCAGAGACAAACAATTACAATTGTAAAATATATGCATATATTTGGAGCATTAAAGAACGAACCGTCTCGGTCTGCGTTTCCCCGGAAATGCTCTTTACCTAATGGAAGCATATATAAAGTAAAGAGTAATGGCCCAAGCACTGAGCCCTGAGGAACTCCATGACTAACTTTGGTGTATGTAGAAGATTTATTATTTACATTTACAAACTGGAATCTATCAGATAGATATGATTTAAACCATTTTAGAGCCGTTCCTGTAATCCCAATATCATATTCAAGCCTCTGTAGTAAAATGGTGATCAACTGTATCAAATGCAGCACTGAGGTCTAACAGGACCAGAGACACAAGTCCATTGTCTGAGGCCATGAGAATATCATTAGTTACTTTTACTAGTGCTGTTTCTGTGCTATGATAAGCTCTAAACCCTGACTGAAACTCTTCAAACAGATTATTTCTTTGTAGATGTTCACTCAACTGACCTGCAACTATTTTCTCTAGAATTTTTTAGATCAAAGTTA